GTTTAAGATTTTCAAAACCCTTTTATCTTAAACTAGGCCTAGCTTAAGGATTATTTAGGAATATTTTATACTGGAATATAGTTTAATTATTTAAACTAGAATTCGTTTAAGGGTTGACAAATATTAAAGTGATTGGCCTTAGACTAAGAATAGTTTAAGGATATTGTTGAATGTTGAATATTGAATATTGAATATGAGTAAATATTGAATGATGAATATTGAATTGAATATTGCAATTATTATGAATGACTGATGAACATTGAATGTGAATATAAATGTTGAATAATGCATGATGAATAATTTTTAATAATTATTGATTATCTGAACTGAACATTATGTGCATGATATCAAATGATTTGATTATGAATTTAGATTCAGTTTATATGGATGTTCGATGCATTAGATATGCTTACTCAGCTTCAACGCTGAGCGTGTAGTATGTTTTATTTGCTACACGCAGGTTAATGAAGTGTCGTGGTCCTGGAGGCAGACGGAGGCGAGATTGTCGGAATGGATGTGATGATTTTGAATTAAAGAACATAAATAAATTATGTTTTTGATTATGATTGTTAAGCTTCCGCAATATTGAAAACTCCGTACTGTTTATATTATGAAAAATATTATTGTGATAAATAAAAGTGTTTGAAATGTTTTAAATTTTTACGATTACCAAGTTAATACTTTAATCTGAAAGGGGCTGCAGACCTGGACAAATTAGGGTGTTACAAAAATATACCAATATTATTTTTATTAGTTTTTGTGCCGATCTAATTTAATCTGATCTGATATGATTGGATCTGATTTGCTCGTATTAGATCTAATTTGATGTAACACCCCGACCCCCACCCTACCCGTAAGTGTCCGCTCATAGGATTGTAGACTGGCCCCACAAACCAACACAAGTCTTTCCTGCGCACTTTGTCCTCACTCGTGTGCGCCCAAAGAAAGTTTCTAAGGGGTCACCCATCCTAGAATTGCTTCAGGTCAAGCACGCTTAACCTTAGAGTTTCTAGGTGATGAGCTCTCGAAAAGAAGATGCACCTTGTTAGTATGAATAGTACTATCAATCCTGTTGAGCTCTTCCCATTCCCATCTTGATATGGGGTATTACATTCACCCCCACTTAGGAATGCAACGTCCACGTTGCATCCTTTTTGAACCCATAGATCTTCCCCGCTAGGTGAACTAAGCTCTTTTGGCCCGTCACGGCCGCAGGGTTGCTCTGATACCATTTGTAACACCCCGACCCCCACCCTAGCCGTAAGTGTCCGCTCATAGGATTGTAGACTGGCCCCACAAACCAACACAAGTCTTTCCCGCGCATTTTGTCCTCACTCGTGCGCGCCCAAGGAAAGTTCCCAGGGGGTCACCCATCCTAGAATTGCTTCAGGTCAAGCACGCTTAACCTTAGAGTTTCTAGGTGATAAGCTCTCGAAAAGAAGATGCACCTTGTTAGTATGAATAGTACTATCAATCCTTTTGAGCTCTTCCCATTCCCATCTTGATATGGGGTATTACATTTGATCTGACTAGGTCTGACCTGATCTGATTGATACAATTTCATATGATCAGATTTTAATAAGAATTAGTATTAAGTAGAAAAAATAGGTCCTACGGAATGGGCCCTAAATAGTCGTGTGCAATTCTTTTCTCCCGCGAAAATGCATGGCTCTCAAACTAAATTGTATGTTTATTCTTAAACGGTCAAATTTTATTTACTTTCTTTCTCTATTTTCAATAGTTACTTGATAAAATAATATAGTCATGTATGTATGTGTAACACCCTAAATCCGTCCAAGTGTGTAGCCCTTTTAGACTTTAAGTATTACTACATAACTTGGTACATACGATTTAAAACATTTCAAGAGACCATTTTCTGGAGAGGACTTAGGAACCTCAAGAGATGAATGATTTGTTGCCTCGCGAGGTGGTTTAAGGTCGATCTCGGGAAATGACTTTTGTGCCTCGTAGGATGAGGACTTAATTGAAGCCTCGTGGGGTTGTTTTGGTTTAACCTCAGGAGAGGGTTTTTGTGCCTCGTAAAACAAGGACTTAGTTGAAGTCTCGCAAGGAGGTTTTGGGCAAACCTCGGGATAGAATTTTTTATGAATATCTTTTGGGGAGGTTGTATTTGTGAGGGTTTGGTTGGGTGGCACCTTTGTGGGCTTAGATACGCTTTGCCTATTTTTTTATTTGTTGCATCGATGACTTGGGAGATCGTACCCACTTATCCCGGGGTGCAAACTCTTAGGACTTAGCCAATTTTAGTGTCCGTAGTGATTTTCACAGGGTTTTCATTTAGTGTCGTCCCAAAAGTCCGAGTTCCTTATGACGTGACCCCATAATTTGAAGATTTGAACGTCGAACTCTGATAGACCAAAGATTTATCATGCAAAGTTTAGTGCGGGCCTCACCTTGGTCACCTTCAATTTTTTCTTTTGGGGTTTGTTCTGTTTTGTGAGCAAGTGGCTCAAACAAATTTCTCACATATTTCCTCTTTTCCTTTTTATTTTCACTTGCCACTATCGGGCTTTTTACAAATGATAATGGGTCAATGGGCTAGTAGTACAAGAACATATAATTCCAAAGCCCAACCAGTATACGGAAATAATAGGCTAAAATAAGGCCTTGCAATAATTATAGGGCCGCAAGGCAACTGGCGGCGGCAGGTTAGTGACCCACGGCGGTCAGCGATTAGCCCCCAGCCACGGTTACACCGGCAGTCCTCCCCGTGACGATGGCGACCCAGCGACTTAGAGGCGATCTTGGCTTCACCGAAGGGCCTATCCGCAATTCCGATCCAACGTTGATCCGAAACCCAACGGTGAATTGGTTGGGATAATTGACCCGGTCTTCCCTGAAATGTGAAACACTTACTTCCGGACGGGGAAGAGGTGGAGAGAGAGTCCCGATCGAGCAAGGTGGATGGGTGGGTGACTGTTTTGATGACACTGCAGAACCCAACCACCAACGGAAGTGGCCGTGTCTTTCGGACTCTTTCCTCCTTGTTTATGTGTAGAGTACTTTCCTATTCGTTTAGTTTTGACTTTTAGAATTGTTCATTTAAGCACTTTGACTCATTAAATTCTCTCAATGTATAAGCCTAAATATAGTCATGTGTGATCTTGTTTGATTTGTCTTAACATATAGATTTTTAATATATAATTTCTATAATTTTTAATATACAAATTACAAGATAAAATGAATTAAAAAGTGCATTGGATGATGTGTAAAAATGAAAGTGGACAAATACTTTAGAACGGAGGTAGTAAAAAAGAGGGATGATGTACAAATGAGTATGAAGTCTCCTCTTAAGGAGAACAACATTTGATAGACCAAAACTCACCGGCTGTGTATTTTTTGGTCCAAACAATGTATGTGTAAAATATAAGAAATATATAAATAAAAGCATACACAATATATTTTAATGTGGAAATCAATTTCGTGAAAACCATTGGCCTTTTTGGGTAGTATCATGCCAACAGGGGTACTTTATTACATACTGAGGATATATTTGTACATCATATTGACGTGATAGTCATTGATGGAGCTCGAAGCTCTATCAATAAGGAGAAGAGAAACAGAGAAAATATATTACGTGTGGAGTGTAAAAAGTTGTTCCCCTTTCTTCTTGGATCTGTGCCCTTTATATAACATCAAAATAGGAGCATAGAGTTAGAATTTCTAGTGGGCTTCTCGCATGGACTGACCCAATATCTTAAATTAAGCCCCATGGATATTATTCTCCATCAACTAGTCTATAAAATTGTTATAGCGTTAGATACTTTCACGTTCAATCCTACAGGGGTCAATGATTGAATGAACAACCTGAAAGACATTGATGGAGCGTGACACTGGTGGGTGGCCCGAAGATGTTTGTTCAACTTAAATGTTCTGTTGGGTTTGTTACTTGAACTACAAGATGTTGAATCTTATTTTAAAGGTCAGGAAATTAACTTAAATAGGACTAAAACATGACTTTTTCAATATAAGATTATGCGTTTTTATTTTTCAATGTAAGACCATTGGTCATTATTCAAGTAAATGTCTACATCACTGGATATTATTTCTCCACTAGACATTATTAAATCTTATTTAGATAATAAAACGTATACGTGCTACATTGGGAAATATCTTATGTTTTAGTTCTATTTAGTGCAAAATTTTCTTTATATTTAAAGTGTTTTCAAAATATTGTGCATATGATTACCAAATTAGTAGCAACCTGATCACTAACACGTTGGTTCGGATTACGTGAGTTGGGATGTTATACACCCAGTCTCAAATGATATTTCCCATTTGAACAATGCATAAAAATCTCACAATTTTTTAAAATGATTTTTTTTACACAAATTGGTATAAAATAAAAAAATAAAATTATATATTAAGAAATACATTAAACGGTTTACAAAATAAGAGATTACAAAAATATTTTATTATTCGAATTATCAATAAAAACATACAAACAAATAAAATTTATAAAAGACCATAATAGTAAAAAGGTCAATCATTTAGGATAAAAGGGGTATGTTTTACTTAAATTATGTTTAAAAAAGTTAAAACATTCGTGTTTGAGAATAATTAGTGGCTGTTACACATTAAAAAAGAAATTACCCTAAATACGAATAAACACATAAAAAGTACCAAAATAAGAGTTTCATATTTTATATTCTTTAAATAAAAGTTTACACTGTTGTAATGTGACATTGTACATGAATATTTGATTATACTTTTTCGTTAAATATATGATCATTATTGTTAATGTAAATACATTTTAACTATTATTTCGAGAATAAAAATATACTCCGTAGAACTTTTAGTTTGATATTTTCAATATTTACTCTTAGTTTATTTCATAAAAATTAATTAAAAATAGCAGTACCGAGTATATTTTCACAATTATACTAGTACGGAGTATTATTTTGTGACTATTGTTCCGAGTGAGACTGTTCAATATTTTAGATTTAGGGCCTGTTCTTTAGGACTGTAAAAAAAGAGCTGGAAACTGGAAGAAACTGGAAGAAACTGGAAAAAACTGGAAGAACTGGAAGAAATTGGAAGAAACTGGAAAAAACTGGAAAAAACTGGAAAAAATTAAAAGAAACTAAAAAAAACTAGAATAAATTGTAAAATCTAAAAAAGTTTTTAAAATTTTTTTAGGTGTGGTTTTAAATTATTCTCATTCTGATTCTTGTTGATATAAATTATTATTATTGCTATAATTATTGTTGTTGTTGTTGTTGTTGTTATCTAAATGATTGTCTTTAAAATAAAAAAAAATATTGCGAATATTATTTTCATACATAAAAAGATAGTTTAAAAAAATAATTAGAGATAAACTAGTACTTAATATTCTATAATGTAGTTAAACTTAATTGAATGTACTATATTTTAGATTAAAATATTGATGGTATTATTCATATTAAAAAGTAGGAGAAAAAAATAATGAATATGAATCATAAAAATAGTGAGATGACAAAATGAAATAATTTATAAACTATAGTTATCAACATAAAAGTTGTAATTAAAAAACTGTAAGAATAATAATAATATATTTTTTTAAAGTGATTTGTCAGAAAGTAGAAAGAATTTGAAGAAAATAAAGATAGTTGGAAAAAATTAGAAGAAACTGGAAAAAACAAGAAAAACTGGAAGAACCTGGAAGAAACTGGAAGGAACTGGAAGAAATTGGAAAAACTGGAAAAAACTGGAAGCAACTGGAAAAAGCTGGAAGAAACTGGAAAAAACTTGAAAAACTGGAAGAAACTGGAAAAAACTGGAAGTTAAGAGTTCAAGTCCAAAAGACCCTTATAAACCTAAATATACTCTAAAATGTAATATCAAAAATTTTAAAGAGCTCAAATATATTTCGAAACCTGAAAATTTTTACAAAAAAATTTGAAAGTAGCCAAAATATATTTTCTAGGATTGTGACGTATGGACACCTTTGAAATTTGAAAGAATATAATTGGAGCTACACGCAAATCCCCAAACCCAAAACTAGGGTTTCAACGGAAGATATGGATGCCGCTTCGTCTTCCCCGTCTCGTGAGAGGAAGCCTGAGGTCAAGGATGGTGTTGCTTGCAGCGCCTTGCGTGCCATGGATGAGAAATACTTCTCCGATGAAGAAGAGGGAGACATGGACGTGGACGAGGAAAACGAAGAAGATGATGGCGAGACAAGGGGCCTCGAAGGCGAAGACTTCGCACAAATTTTCATGGTTCGCGATAATGTTTGGGAGACTAAGAATTTCTCCAAGTGGAGGAAACTGAATTGGCGCTGTTTCGAATGGTGTTCCCAAATCAGTGATTACTATTTCGATATACCCAAAGATTCTTTCAAACCCAGGTGGGATCCTCGTTCCGGAAGACCCTTAGAATTGAAGGTAACAAAAATTGATTCCAGTAATGCAATTATTACAGTACTACGTATTTATTTAGCTCTCTTAACCACTGTTGTTATAAGAGATTGTTTGATTATTTTTTTTTTTCATTAGATGGGCCATTCGCTGTTGTACTATGATATGGACGAACCATGGATAGGCTTTTATCTCAGAGAAGCTTGTGAAGGTGCCAGAGTAGCTATTGAGTTTTTCAACAAGGAAAACAAGGTTACTATTTTCCCTATCAATCTCTAGGTGCCAGATTACAAGTATTAATTTTTGTATGATGCCGGTTCACACTTCTTTATTTGAAAGCTTAAGATGCTTCGTTCAAATCCACACAAAATATCCCTCGCTTGCCCCCACTCCCGCCCCCAAGTTTCCCACCACATGTGTGAATATCCACTATCAAACTTTTCACTCTGGCTTGTCACCCAACTCGTGGGGTCATGGGACGGGTTTGGAGGGTTTGCCGGATTAGGGAGGTAGCATACACTCAAATGCATCGAGTGTTATATATGACACCAAGATTGGGGGCGGTTCCCGAAATTGCCCGATTTCTATCCTTTCAACCCCGGTAAACCCCCCACCATGCTCTGACCCGAACAAATCACCACCTTCTTCAATTGCACCCTAAAATTTGACTCCGAAGTCAAAATCAACTTGTGGAGTGCAATTGAAGAAGGTGGGGGGTTTACCAGGGAGGTTAGAGGTGTAGGAACCGTCAATTTTACGAACGGGGCACCGGAGCGTCCTCAGGTCATCCCATGACATGAGGTTCCAATGTCATGGGAACCCCACCGTATTTATTTTTCAAAAACCCTTTCAAGTTTTGGCAATTATTACAGAGTATCTATTGAAACCCTTGAGCTTGTGTAATTACTCTTCCATTCTTTTTTTATTTGTCAGTTTCACAGTGATGAATGGTTGATCAACAATCCTAAAACGGAGTATATTACACGTATCTTTTAATACGAATGCTATGTTGTAATTTTTAAATTTTAGTTTGTTGTATATTATTTTTTCAACCAAGGGGATTTCCGGCTTAAAAATAATAGACGGGTGATTATCTAAGTCCCCGTTTGGTACACGGAATTCAAACTATAGAATTTGAATTGGAGACTTCAATTCCAATTCTCGTGTTTGGTAGCACAAAAATTATGTGGATTTGGAATTGGTAGTGCAAAAAATGAATTGGAATTGGTGAATTCAATTCTATGGAATTGAATCCCATGGAATTTTAATTTCAATTCAATTCCAATTCCATCAATTCCGTGTACCAAACGGACCCTAAAAGTTTGAAGGGTTAAATAAACTTATTAAGTTGTGGTTGTTAAATACGGAGTACTGTTTAACCTTTCCCCGAACCTCTTTATAATTTTATAAACTTAACTGTCATGATGTAGTTAATTTTTCTTTTGTGTGTTTATAGATGGGAACAATTTTGGAGTTTGTTAAGATGTTGAGAATCAGAAGGGGCTTACATTTTTATCAACCTCGCGGTAGAGTATACTTCCTTACATTTAAGACCAAGATTGTTCCTTGGAGTTATCCAAAACCTTTTAAAGAACTCGAAGCCTCCTTATTTCAACCGTCTCAAGACAAGAAAACTTGGTATTTGAGAGCCTTGAGGGAGAAGCCTTTTGATTTAATGGGTAATTCATCGACTACTTGTTTCCATTATTATTCAATAAGGTTCCATTATTCTCTTTATATTGATATGTTTATTGTTACGACTTGTGAGTGCTATAACATCTTGGCAAGATTTCATATGTAATGAGATAAACCTTTTCCCTTTATCTCTTTAATATGGAAAATGTAATGTGGATCATGAAGATGATTTGGGAAAGTGATGTGTCTAAAATAAGAAGCCACATTATTTGAGGTTGCCTCATCCAACTCTGAAATGGTTCCTGGGGTGGGTGCGAGGGACTTACTACGGGGGATGATTTGTTGGTGGAGTTAGGGGGTTGGAATCATTTTGAAGCTGGGCAAGGCATTAGAGGTTTCTCAAATGGACCCAGTGTCATATTAAGACATTGTGATCGAGTGTCAAAAGATTTTTTGAGTATATTGCTTAATGTTTGTCGTTTGTTTCAGCTCCATAATGGTTGTTCTCGGGATCATGATTTGAAAGGAACTGGAATTTCTGGAAGCTAATGAGTTCCTTATTAAGAGTTCTCCACTCAGCCGTCTATAATCAATATAGGAGTTGCTACAAAGTTGCGGTAGGATGTCTGGATGACAAAGCATATATGTATTTTGTAACACTATGTATGGTTCATGGAATTTGGAAGGAAAAAGAAGAAAATGAAAACTATTTTCCTTCCATATTGGTGAGGAAATTGAGTGTATTCCTTTTTGCTATATCCACCCTCATTTTAGCTAAATCTCTCTTTCGATGTTAAATTGACAAATTTGCCTTTAAACGTTGGTATTCCTTCTGCTATATCCCTCATAATCCCTCATAATTAGTTCAATACTAATGTAATTTATTTGAATTGTTAATGTTTAATTTGTTTCCGTTTCATAAAGCAGAAAAAATTGAAACTCTTGATTTGCCAACAGTTGAGGACAACCTATATTATTGGCCATCTATGTATCGAGGATAGATTGAAAGTGTAAGAGTTGCATTTACTTATCATTATTTAAATTTTCCAAACAACAACTATGAAACTAGAAGATTTAGTGTTTTGCCCCCTCTTCTGACTAGCCAAGTTCTCACTTTTACAAATATTATAATAAAAATTAGCAATAAAACAATTTTGGCTAGAATAAAGTGTCATACTCTGTATATAAGTGTATTTCTTATTGATGGACGATAGTAAGTTTTTTGGGATGGCTATGCTGGAGATATTCTCAAATAAGTATTGATACTAAGGATAGCTATATGGAGCTCATTCCAAAGACAAAGCGATCTGATGCCGTGCCGTGCCCTACGAGAGAAAGTATTTGAATTAGGTTAATATGCATTGGTTGGTGTGGTGAATGACATTGCAAGGAAATGGAGTTTTGATGGGAATGAGATTGCTAGGATCAGGCCACATTAAGTAAGAGTCTTCTTTTATATTTTTAATTATTTTTGAAGCAATTTACAGTTATTTTGTTGTATTTGAGGAAGGATCTACTGATGCCTTTCTTCAATATGTAATTTAGAAAGACTATAATAACTGATCAGCCATCGTATTTATGACCGTGTCATGGGAGAAAATAGATGATTTGATGACACATCATGTAATTGTGTGTATAATTAAGAGGCATAAAAGTTTGTTTAATTTTAGTTTATTGTTTATTAATGTATACTTTGTTTTATATTTAATTTTTAAGATTTTTTAAATCCATCTTGGTTGAATTGCTTTAATGATCTGTCTCTTCTATCAACCTTTTCTTCTCCGCATCTTCTACTCATAAAACTAAAAAAGGTGTGCATTCACTGCAAAAAGGAGAATCCTTTAAGTCATCAGAGGAATAGAGGGGCGAGCCCACTAAGTTTCAAAGCTATATGCATAGTTTTTAGAACTAGACTGGCGATCGTATAAATCAAGGTACTGGTTTACTAACTAAACCTGTGGTTCAAGGTGTCTAACCACTATCTTGACTGGTTCGGTCACCACTCTTTTTCTAAAAACTATGCATATACCTTCTAAACCTAGTTGGCCCATCCCCTTTCTATTTCTCCCATATGTTGACTTAGACAATTCCTCTTTTTGAGTGAATGCCCACTCCTTTTAGTTTTATGACTAGAAGATGCGGTGAAGTTGATTCCGGAGATAAATCATTACTGTAATTCAACCAAAATAGATTGAAAGAAGAAAAAATTAAATCTAAAACAAACTATATATAAATAAGCAATAAACTAAAGTTAATCAAATTTTTAATAGCTCTTAATCACACACACACAGTTGTATGATTTGTCATCAAATCACCTATTTTCTCTTCGAGGATGTGGTCATAAATAAACACAGTGCCCAATTTGCCTTAGTTATTTTGGTATTTACAAATTGCGGCATGAAGAACGACAACAATAGATCCTTCCCCCGCCCAAATGCGACAAAATGTCTAGTACTTGGCGAAAGCCGATTGTTTAAAAAAAACATTTGAAGTATAATAAAACTTCAAGCTTGGTGTGGCAATCTCATTCTTATTAAGAGCTCATTCTTCAACAATATTATTCACCGCACCAATCAATGCATACTTACCTAATCCAATACATTCTCTCGTTGGGGTCAACACATTATCAGATTGCTTCTTCTTAAATTAGAACCATACTCTGTACATAAATTTTATGGTGTTTTGAAAACTTAAATAATGATGAGAAAATACAACTATTGCATTTTCAATTCATCCTCTCTATACACAGACTTTCAATGATATGGGTTGTCGTCAACTATTGGTAAATCAAGAGTTTCAATCTCTCCTCCTTTTGCGAAATCTAGTAAACACTAACAATTTAAATAAATTATATACCAAATAGTGTTGAAGTAGTGATTAAAATGTATTTAATAAAAAATATTCTACACAAAAATCGTAGAGAACAAGAGTGTTTAAAACTAAAACCGAATACAAGCTAAAATGTAGCGACAAATAAAATCCAAGCATATACAATTTTACTTTTTTCACATATTATTTCAATTCCTAAAAAAAAAGAATTGATACTTTGAGATTTATTAAGAGAAGTTAAAAGAAATAAACTAACACTCTTATAGATTTAAAGAAGATAGGGTTTTACTTAGGGCACAGGTTTGAAATGAGCACTACACTTTACACTCTTCTCACAAGTCCGTGTGTAAAAATTCTATCACCTTGCCCCAATCAGAAGACACACTCCCACCCCTTTTAATTGCACCGCAAGTCAATTTTGATTCCAAAGTTAAAAGTAACTTGAGGAGTGTAATTGAAGAGAGGGAGAGGGTTTACTGGGGGCTAGGAGAATAGGAATCGTCAATTTTACGAATGTGGCACTGTAGCGGTTCCGGCTCATTTCATGATATTGGAACCCGAAAACCCATCCATTTTTTAAATCTTTCGATCATGTAGCGGAATTTACATGATCAGATTCCATATGAAAGCTGTCGAGGGTGATAAAAAATTGTATCGAAGTATTTTACTGTACTTTATTTATGTGTTTGCGTCCATGAATTTTATATGAGCACATTCCCATACATATACGAAAATTGGGGAAGTCTAAAGTTATACTTACTCCGTCCTAATTCTTTCTTTCCAGTTTGACTTTTCTCCATTTTTAATTTTGGCTTTGACTTCAAATTTTATCCTTCTTAAAAAAGATTTTTTAATTTTTCTTTGCAATCATTCAAAATATAGAGTTAGAAGATAATTGGTGTAAATACATGAGAGTATTAATGTCATTTGTCATCTTTTTTTTCTAATGGGAAGGTAGTTTTAGAACGAGGAAAAAATGGAAGTGAGAAGAAAGTTTTAAAACGGAGGGAGTACCAATCATATTTGTTTCAAACATCACTTTAATTGGGAATCATAGGTTCTAAGACTTTTTCGTGTGTAAAATTGATGTTTTACTTCCTTTCCGAATCGCTATTTAGATAAATTTTAATTGGCTGAATAAAAGAGGGAGGCATGAGAAAGTGCCAAGGTGGGCGGTAATAGAAACTATTAATTTTACGGACAGAGCATCCTGGATGCTCAATTGAATATGTGTCGAAGTGGAATAAAACTTTGGGTAAGATAAGTCAACAACATACTTTGTCCCATAGTGCTCATTAAGTTTGACTCTTTTTAGTCATTTTGGAAAAGTTATGGTTATAAACTAAATAAAAATTATTTTATATTATATTAATAAAAACACAATTTTATTAGATTTACTATGAAAAATTTTCATAAATTTGTTTTATTGTGTAATGATGCTTCATTTGTAAAATTAGCAGTACTTACCTTCTGAAAACCCTCCTCATAAACCGTCACTGTGATCTCGTCTCTCACGATCACTTAGGACCACTTTAGCCACGTAATTGTACCCCATAAATTTTTGACTCTCAGGGTCAAAATTTGACCAAAGTCTCAATCAAACTTATACTCCCTCTGTCCCAAATTATAATGCATGTTTATTATTCACATAGTCAGACTTCATTCACTTTTTTTTTCTATTTTCGTTAGTAATTTGATAAAAAAAAATATTCTTGTCACTACTAGTTTTGTAGATCTTTTGATGTAGTATTTTAATATGTAATTTTTATTTTTCAATTCTATACCATTTGTCATATAAAATGGTTTGAAAATAATTTCAGTCAAACATCGTAAACCGAAACAGGCGTTATAAAATGGGACGGAGGTAGTACAATGCAATTGCGGGGAATAGGTTGATCGTGTGGTCAAGGTTGGGGATGCACGTTTTTGAGGGGGTTATGAAGGGTAAAAACTGGAAGATTTACAAACAAAGCATTGTAAGTGCTCCAATTTAATTTCTGCGATGGTTTAAGATTACAACTCTGTGGGAATTTATAATGTGACCAACAAAAATGACACCCCTTCGTGACACAAGTTTAATTGGGGGCATCTGCGATGCTCCGATTATAAATTTCTCTAATGTTTTATCGCTCTCGTGCACCCCAACCCTTTCCCACCCCCCACCTGAATTGCTAATTTGGGCAATTATACTTCCCCAAATTGGCAATCCAGGTGGGGGGTGGGCCGGAGCGGGAAATCACGGGAGAAATGTTTAGGTGGGTGGTAAGGAAGGGAAGAAACAATTAATTTTAGAATCAAACCATTGTAGGCGTCCCAATTGAACTAGTGTCACAATGTTACCCTAGTTTGACTAGTGTAACATTACAATCATGTGTGAGAGAGAGAGAGAACTATTTCGTGTCTCTAATGTATTCTAATGTATTTCTGTAAGGATATTGGTGTCAAACTTGGGATCATACTAAGGTTCATTTGATTTGTTTTGTTTTGTACGGGCGTCTAAAACAATTATTTCCAAGCTCATATTTGTTTTCTTCAAGCATTAAAATTTTATTCTGCAACTAAACGAAGACATTACCAGCATACACTTGGAAAAACATTGTGATTACGGAGTGAGTCAGCTTTCGGGAAACTTTAGTGTGTAAATGTTTATTACACAAATACTAAGGAGATTTTGACTCTGTTTGGTGTAGCCGGCCGGACAATCAAAAGGGCCAAGATACGATATTTTTTCTTTCTTTTTTCAAAGGTGTTGATTTGTTAGAAAAAAACATGAAGTAATTGATGAATAATGATGAAATTACCTCAAAAAAACATATGGTGTTTCCCGCAAGGCCCTCAAATACCAAATGTCCCAGTGTGCATCAGCCCGAAAAAATGAAGTTTGGAATCAGTCTCCCATACATCTATCTTCATCCCCAACCTGAAAAAGTTTTATCGAGTCTTCCCTGTTCTCGTCCTCATTCTCTTCCATGATTTCCTCTTAGCTTCTTCAAGGCAGAGATCATTTTGTCCTCACCCTCGGAATGAACATCATCATACAATGGCCTCTTATTCTGACAGTTCATAACCTCGTAGGCCGGGAATGCCATCAACACATTTGGTATTTGAGGGAAACACCATATGTCTTTTGAGGTAACTTCATCATTATTTTATTTCTTCTCATTAATCTGTATGTATTGATGTAATGAGAATTCCAACTCTTTTCATACATTGGAGGTGAAGTCATTGTGTGCTATATAAATTTTACCACTATGTAGTGGGTTTAAAATAACACTATATTTTATTTTTTTTGTCTTTTGTCTCAACCTCATATCTGCACTTTGTGCTTGGTATCATGAGTTGAAAGGAATCCAAATAGGGCTCCTCTGCTTCAATGCAAAGTAATATCGAACTTGCTGTTGACTTTTCGTTATAGTGTCCGTATGAAAACTCTTTTCTGTTTTGGCTGAAATGTTGTTAGCATACATCAAATAAGTGAATGAACGTTATTTTAAATGTATAGTCAATATTAAAACTCTGTTCTTTATCCTTTAATAGAAGAGCCAAATAAAGGAATTTACTCAAGTAATAACGTATGGGTGGTGGATACAATATATATAGATGGAGATGGCTAGATAATTACACAAGAGCCCAAGAATATAATATAATTACATATTTTATTTAACATCTCCCCTCAAGCTGAGTTTTGCAGTAGCAAGAGGAAGCTTGGATATAAGGAAATGGAACCGCTGTGATGTTAGCGGCTTTGTGAGAAAATCAGCCAATTGATTCTCAGAAGATATATGTTCAGCAATCATAGACCCATCAATAACCTGTTCACGAACGAAGTGACAGTCTGTTCCAACGTGCTTCATCTTTTTATGAAAAACAGGGTTCTTTGTGAGGCAAATGACAGATTAATTGTCACAATAGAGAACTGGTGGCGGAGTGGCTATATGCAAATCTGTCAGAATGTAAGTGAGCCACATTACCTCTGATGCCGCAGCAGAGAGTGCTCTATATTCGGCCTCTGTGGAGGACTTTGATACCCTTGGTTGCTTCTCCGTACTCCAGGATACAAGATTATCGCCAAGATAGATGAGATAGCCTGTGGTCGAACGACTATCCTGAGGATCATTAGCCCAATCAGAATCAGAATAGCCACGTATGCGCATATCCCCCCTGCCGAACATTAGACCCTGTGAAATAGTACCCTTGACATATCGCAGAATCCGTTTTAATGTATGAAAGTCCTTCTCGGTTGGGCTGTGCATTTTTTGAGCAACATAATTGACAGCAAACTGAATATCTGGCCGGGTAACAGTGAGATACTGAAGGCCACCAACCAAACTACGAAAAAGACGAGGATTATGGAAAGGAACATCCATGCCATCTGTCGAGGAGCTAGGACTGATTGGCGTTGGAGCGGGTTTGGCCGTGTCGACACTTGCACGATGGAGAAGCTCACCAGCATATTTTGTCTCATGAAGTAGAAGACGATCATCGGTGCGTTGTACTTCCAGACCAAGAAAATATTGAAGAGGCCCAAGATCCTTCATTTGGAATTCATGCTGCATACTTCTAATAAAACCCTGAATAAGCGAGGAAGATGAACCAGTAATAACAATGTCATCAACATATAACAACAAGATGAGAGATCTCTGTGAGGAGTGCTTGATAAACAAGCTAGTGTCATGAGTGGTGGTGATAAAACCTTGGGCCGTCAAAAAAGATGTGAGACGTAAATACCATGCCCGAGGAGCTTGCTTAAGGCCATATAATGCCTTTATTAATTTGCAAACATGATGAGGATAACGTTGATCAATATATCCCGGAGGCTGATTCATATATATCTCGTCCTGTAACTCACCATGCAAAAAGGCATTAGAAACATCAAGTTGATGAAGAGGCCAGCGATAGTGCATCGCAATAGAGATCACAACGCGAATGGTTTGCTATTTAACCACAGGACTAAAGGTCTCAGTGTAGTCGAGCCCATATTCCTGATCATAGCCCTTCGCCACAAGACGTGCTTTGTAGCGTGAAATGGATCCATCAGAGTTGCGTTTAATGCGGTAAACCCACTTGCATCCAATAGAAAACCGGTCTTGAGGAGGTGGAACTAATATCTAAGTACCCTGTCTCTGTAACGCCTCAAATTCATCATCCATAGCTTGACACCAATACCTGTTTTGGGAGGCTTGTTTGTACGAGGTAGGTTCCGTTTGGGGCGGTGTGTCATATGGAATGGTGGTGGAGTATATTTTGGGTTTAAAGATGCCACTCTTAGAACGAGTGATCATCGGATGTGAAGGGTTAGGCGGGTGGCGCTGGTTGGCCGTAGGTGATACAGTGGCAGTGGAGGTGGGGTTTTCAGGTGAGGGAGGATCAGGTGTAGGGGAAGGGCTATGGAGAAGGGTTGTTGGCAGAGCTGATATGGGGTTGATGATAGACGTAGATGACATGGGATTGGTGGTAGCCGTATGGTGAAGGGGTGTAAGAGCATCAGGAAGGTTGGGAATATGTTGAGCATACAGAGGGTCGTGAGCAAGACTTTGGGACGAACGAGAGAAACCCGGAAAGAGAGGTAGGACACCAAAAAATTCAATAGACGCGGGACGGATCGGATTAGTGATAGTTGATACAGGAGGAGATTTATATGGGAACTCTGATTCAAGAAAACGGACATGACGAGTGACATAGACACGATGAGTCTCAAGATCAAGGCAACGATAGCCCTTGGTGTGGGGCTCGTAGCCAACGAAAACACAAGGTTTAGAACGTGGCTGTAGTTTATGATTAACTTCATGACGAAGATGAGGATATGCAAGACAACCAAAAACACAAAGATACGAGTAGTCAGGACGATGACCATAAAGTTTTTCAAAGGGAGAGACATTGGCAAGGGATTTTTTGGGGAGGCGATTTATTAAAAAATTTGCAGTGGCAAGTGCCTCAGTCCAAAATATAACTGGTAAGTGAGCAGTGTGAAGAAGTGTTATTACAGTTTCAATGAGATGACGATGTTTACGCTCTGCCACTCCATTTTGTTCTGGAGTGTAGGGGCATGTTTTTTTATGTAAAATGCCAAGGCATTGGAGAAACAAACCAAATTTGTTATTTACATATTCACGACCATTATCAGTACGAAAAAGTTTTATAGTAGAACCAAATTGATTTTGGACCATGAATTGAAAACTTTGAAACGCTCCAAACGCATCAGATTTGTGTTTAAGAGGGTATAACCATGAAAATTTTGTAAAATCATCTATAAAACTAATATAGTAAGAGAAACCACTAAAAGAAGAGACAGCAATTGGACCCCAAACATCAGAATGAATTAATTGGAAAGGAATAGTCGCAGCAGTATAAGATAAAGAAAAAGGCAGTTTATGTGACTTAGATACTGAGCAAGAATCGCAATGGGGTACATCAGAAAATGAAACACCTAAAAATGAAAGCAAACGCTTGGTAATGGACACAGATGGATGACCCAAACGACGACGCCACTCTTGAGAGGTAAGAACGGCAGATCGTACGGACGGAGACGACTCAACATGAGGAGATGCTTGGTAATTGGAAGGTAACATATAAAGTCCCTGCTCACAGCGGCCTCTGTATCTCACCATGTGGGTTTTGTTGTCCAGGATCTGAAATTCATTAGAGTTAAAGAGAAGGGTGCAGTTGTTATCTTTAGTAAAACGGTGAACAGAAAGTAGGTGAGATGTAAGAGCGGGAACATGGAGAAGGTTACCAAGATGAAAGATTCCAGAGGCAGTGGGTATTTTACCTGATCCAACATGAGCTATGGGTAAGGGATGACCACCTGCACTAGTCACAGAATCAGTGCCAGAGTATGGCCTGTATGAATAGAGACGAGACAGATCCGGTGTGACATGCGTATTAGCTCCAGTGTCCAAAAACCAATTTCCATTAGAGCCAGTAGATTGAGACGCATAAAACGCTTGAGGCGATGGAGAGGGCGGTCCGCTAAACTCTGAATCAAAGCGATGCCAACAGTCCCAAGCAGCATGATTATATTTACCACAGATTTGGCAAATAATAGAGTCACGAGAAGTGCCTCGGCTGGACTGCCCACCTTGTCCAGTTTGGCCGCCACGCCCGCGGCTGAAGCCGCCTCAACTGGGCTGCCCTCCTGTGCCAGGGAAGCCACTACCACTACGTCCACGATGAGAACCACGACCACGTCCACGTCCACGTCCACCAGATTGTGCATATAGGGCCGTGTGAGGATCAGTGGTGGCCGGACTATCACTAGGTTGAAGTTTTTGCTCCATTTGTAGATTAAGTTCCTCGGCCAATAACCAAGAGGAAACTTGTGCAAAGGTAACATTTTCCATATTGGTTCTGATATTCTGTTTTATGGAAGCATACTCGGCGAGCAACCCTCGAAGAACACCCAATATCACATCATGTTCCGGAACGGCAGCCTTGGCCCGGTCTAAAGCAGCGACAATTTTGACGACAGAATCAAGGTATTTTTGCATAGAATCAGGCCCCTTCTGAACATTGTGAAGTTGCTCTTTTAATTGAAAAATATGTGTGCGAGAAAGAGAATTATACCGAAGCTGAAGATGCTCCCATATTGCCGCAGCAGTGTCAAGGCCATGAAGGTGATTTTGCACAGACGGGCTGATAATAGCAAGTAAACATGCACAGAGTTGGGCATTGATAACGGGCCAAACCTCAAACTCAGGGTTGATGTCCGTGCTGCCGGCGACATCTAGAGTTTTTGGAGGGGCTGTGATCGTACCATCAACGTACCCGAGCAAGCGATGAGCGGACAAATTTGCTGAGGTTGTAGCAATCCACGATGGAAAATTTGTATCATCAAGCTTTTCCGGAGAAAGAGAGTGGAGATTTTTTATAAAAAGCTTCAACCCAGTGGGAAGAGCATCAAGAGGATCAATTGCTTTTGCCATGAGAGGAGGAAGATGATTGGCAGAGAGGAGGAAGTTGATCGGCAGAGAAAAGGAAGAAGATGAAAAAGTTTTTGGCAGAGAAGATGATCAGCAGAGAAGTTGATCGGCTAGGGTTTTTTTTTGTATAAAGCCTCAGCTCTGATACCATAATAGAAGAACCAAATAAAGGAATTTACTCAAGTAATAACGTATGGGTGGATACAATATATATAGATGGAGAGGGCTAGATAATTACACAAGAGCCCAAGAATATAATATAATTACATATTTTATCTAACATCCTTAAATCCCCTCTTTGTGCACTTTCATCTGTTGATGTCTTCTCTTGTGATTCGTGCATGTAACAGGTCTGTCTGTCTAATGGAAAGCTCTATTTGTTACAACATCCTATGAAGCTTTCAGAGTCTTGCTGATTGTTTTTGTGCTGAGTTTTGGGCCACGAGAATTTGGTAAATAGAATTTCCAAGGGATATGCTCAAACATTCATAGGCAACTTCAAAGTGTCCTATTCACACAATGCTTTCAATAAATGTCAATCTTTATTGTTTTTTGGAGCTATATGTAAGATGTGGTCATTAGCTATATGCCTCTACAAATGTGGTCATTAGTAATAAGTATTGGATAATGATTAATTATTTTAATGACTATTCAAATCATTTTTAAAAATGTCTTATTTACTCAAAGAGGGAACATTTTAGAACTTTCAATTGCCAAACGTTTTAGTAGATAGGACTTGTCCAAATTAGAAAAGTAACATGTTCAAGTCTTATATGCCTTAAATTACCCTTGTACAAATCTTAAAACATTATTATGCTACGTACGTAGCTTTTGGTTATCTTTTTTGTCTGTTTACTGATGCATTAGACACGCACTATAGGGCTTTGGAAATAGTAATGTTTTGTTTTTGGTTACATACAGTGGTTTTTTTTGGATTTACAGGTTGCAAACAATGATAACGATTTAGTTCTTGCATATTAGCAGTACAAACTCTGCCTGCCTATGTAACTTATGTAACCATCGCCCTCAGGTCTCCCACCAAGGCGTCTCCATGATCACGGCATATTTTTGTATGTTACACATTACAAATGTTTAGTGTATGTTACACATTTAAAATGTACTATAGTAATAATTTTGTTCAATTAAGTACTTTAAATTAAATAAAAAATTAAATTTTAGGTAAATAAAAAATCGTATTTATTTGGTCCGGTCTCGAGTTTACCCCGTGCGGTCACATGTTGGCCTTACCTTAATCGGTTCAGTCCTCAGTCCATGAAATATCCCTTGTCCCTTAAGGAGGAGGATTTTTACTAGGTGCTTTGTAAGAAGAATGTACAGTGTAGTGCTCATTTCAAATGACATGCCTCAAGAAGAATCTTCTCTTTATAATTAATTATAAGTTTCTATGTATTAATTCTATTTTCCACAAATATTAAAATACCAAGTAAAACAAGTAATAACTTAAATACTCAGATTTTTTGTATAGCTACATTTTAGCCTATGTTTGGTGTTAGTTTTAAAGTTAAACACTCTTGTTGTTAGGCTTGGACACGGTACCAGTGCAGTACCGTCACCGTCACCGGTACCGGCGGTACCGAGTACGGTCACCGTCACCGGTACCGGCGGTACCGAGTACGGTCACCGTCACCGGAGACGACCTACCGGTTCCGGAATCCGGTACCGGTACCGCTTCAACCGGTACCTTGTCCGGTTCCCAATTTACGTCACCGGCACCGCCAGTACCGGTACCGATGCCGGACCGGTTATTTTTTTTCTTCTTCTTTTTCTTGCTCCTACCCAACGGAAACCTGCAAAAGAAAAGAAAGAAAAGTCAGTGGGG